TAGAATAGAATAGAATAGAATAGAATAGAATAGAATAGAATAGAATAACAGAGTTGGAAGGAACCTTGGAGGTCTTCTAGTCCAACCCACTGCCTAGGCAGGAAACCCTACACCACTTCAGAGAAATGGTTATCCAACATCTTTTTAAAAACTTCCAGTGTTGGAGCATTCATAACTTTTGGAGGCAAGTTGTTCCACTGAATAATTGTTCTGTCAGGAAGTTTTTCCTTAGTTCTAAGTTACTTCTCTCCTTGATTAGTTTCCACCCATTGGTTCTTGTCCTGCCCTCAGGTGTTTTGGCCAATAGCTTGACTCCCTCTTCTTTGTGGCATCCCCTGAGATATTGGAACACTGCTACCATACCTCCCCTTGTCCATCTTTTCATTAGACTAGACATACCAAGTTCCTGCAAGTGTTCATCGTATGTTTTAGCCTCCAGTCCCCTAATAATCTTCATTGCTCTTCTCTGCACTCTTTCTAGAATCTCAACATCTTTTTTACATTGTGGCAACCAAAACTGAATGTAGTATTCCAAGTGTGGCCTTACCAAGGCATTATAAAGTGATATTAACACTTCATGTGATCTTGTTTCTATCCCTCTGTTTATGCAGCCTAGAACTGTGTTGGCTTTTTTGACAGCTGCTGCACACTGCTGGCTCATATTTAAATGGTCGTTGTTAGGAATATGAGTCAGCTATTTGGGTTGGACAATATATAAACCAGGATAGACATTTTAATACTGTATTTTTAAGAAAATGCAAAACTGTACTTAGGTGTGGTTTCTCAAACAGCCATAAGATGGAGCCAGAAACCTGGGTTGTTTAGTCTTAGTCTTAGTCTCAGAAGAGAGTGTGTCTGAGTGAGTCTGTTTCTGTCTGTTGGAGAGTATTGCCGTTCCTTAATTGGCTGCTACTCTGGATTTGATGTAAGTCTGATACTGAATTGTTTTTGACACTGGACTTTGTTATTGGATTATCCCTGGACTGAAAACTGACTGATTTAACCTGTGAATGACTTTGGACTGCTTATTTGAACTTTGCTTAAACGTTTAGGGAAGTAAAAACCTACATTTACTGTACAGTGTATCTGTGTGCTGTGTGTGCTTATTCAAACACTTCTCTCAAATACGTCTCCCTGTATGCACTCATTCTCCTAACAGGGAATTACCTGAACAGTTGTCCACTAGGACTCTGAGATCCCTCTCACAGTTACTACTATTGAGCTATTTGGCCCTTGTTTTGCATATAAAGAAACATTTTAGTTACATAGCTGTAAACACAAAGTAGGAATCCAGCTTTCTGTTTTCTCTGCTGCAATATGAAATAAATTTATATGGAACTTCATCCTTATAATACATTACTTATATGCAATGCAGGTGGTTCAGAATACAGATGTGATATTTTCCTATTAAGTATGTCTGCTGTGTGGGAATATTTCAAATTCTCCATTTTACTGCATGCTAGTCATGGATAAGTTGTAGAACTTCCAAGATTATGGAATGAATACACTATATTTTCCACAAAAAACCAAAACCCTATTTGGTAGAAGATTTCTCAACCGTTCTAAATAATGTGCACTATGACTAGGAAAAAGCAACACAATTTTCCCTCACCAAATGATACTTGCACTTACTCAGTGATATGCAAATGTACCTCAGCCTTCATCAGTGTAGCATCCACTAGAGAACTCTCAGAATAACCACTGAGAAAGTGGGTATGTATGTCTTGCAAAAGTTAAAAGCAATATATTGGTTTATATACTACTAAAGGCTTGTAACCTTCAATTAGACAAATAGGTGCATCACAGTGCAACAATTTTTGAACCAACATACCAGAAATGGGCTGGCTTAAAGAATGCATCCAAAACCCAGGACCCACTACTATCATGGGATTGAAATTTGGCAAAATTGTTGCTGCTGCAGCACAGCTGCTTCTTCCAGCTACGTTTCCCCCAAACCCATAGATACACAGTGTAAAGGAATATGGGAGAGGTATATTCCTGCCCTCTTTTCTGACCCCCTCTGGTTGCTGTGGAATTGGTTGGTGGTAAAGCCCAACAGGCAAGAGTGATTGACTGCTTTGGAACTGAGACCTAAATATGAAATAGCTTAACAGTGGTGGGCAATGAGGGAAAGACAAGGCAGTGACTTGGATGCCTGCTGGAAAGTTAGGGCTGACTGGGGATGCTATCAGTCAATAGGTGAGCCCTCTTTTCCCTGGAGAGATTCGGAATGCAGTTATCCTCATAGTCCTCAGTCCTTTTGTTCATCACCCCTCCCAGGAAAGGGGCAGGAAATCCCATAGGTTAACTAAGGAGGAAGAGGAATGATTTCTGACATTCTCTGCCAACTTCCCATAAACAACCTTAACCAGGAAGCCAGCAGGACGTCAGAAATTACTGCCTTTCCCATTGCTCCCCCCCGCCGCCCATGGTCATTCAATTGATCTCTGAAAGAATGACCAATGGATCACGGTTTGTCTATTCATTTATATTCCCATGACTTCAAAAAGACATTGCACTCTTGTCCCTAAATAGTGTTGTTTCCAAAGACAGATCCAGGATTCAAATTTTATCCCTCGCAGTCTAAGATGCCGGGTAAGGATTTAGCAAAAATAGAAGGGAGCACTGTTCTGAGCACTTTACATTCTGAGGACCCAGATGAAGAAACAAGCTATATTTAGACACAAAGAGCACATGACTCATGTTATCCGTTTTTCTGAGCTTTGTTAGGTTAAAGATTATGAACAACCCATATTACTGTTTAGCAGCCATGAGAGCTCAGTATTCCTTGCCTTTGCAATTTCAATTTTTATTGAGATTTATCACATTTCACTGTTGACTTTGTTGCAGATTACTCAGCTATTGCCTCACCCACATTTCAGCACGTTGGAAAAGCAATATTGTACCAACAGTTCAACTGTTAAAAGAGCATATTATGTGGGTTATATTATTGAAAAACAGACACATGAAAACACAGATCTTTTCCTTACATACCAAGAAGGCAAAACACATGATCTCACTCAGATGTAACTTTTACTCTGTTTTTAAAGGAAACTCACCGTTCGGGCACCCGTTAACTGCATAAGATAGTCTTGAATGTCATCCATATTCTTTTGATTTGTGAGATCAATAAATGCCAAGTGCCCAGGCTTGATATTAAGTTCTTTCAGAAGATCTAGAGCACTGTGACAGTAAGGGCAGCTCTTCTTTCCAAATACAACCACTTTATCAGATGCAATATGACTAGCTACAAATTGCTGGGCCATCCTAAAATTCTTAGTAATTCCCAGCAACAAGAGCCCAATTCTGAGGTTGAGAGGAATAAAAACAGAAAGCAAAAACTCAGCTGCACTACAGAAGTAAGGTTATATGAGTTTCAAGCCTCTTTCTTCCTCTTGGAGCCAACATCCTGTAGGAGGAGTTACTTCTCTGTTTGTTATTGTTAAAGAGCTATGCACAATGATTGCTTAGTCTTTTAACTATTGCTTAGTAGAAATATGTAGGCACTTCCCACTCAGGATGTGAAATGATTCTGTCACTGAGTGTTAACAAATTGCACAACTGATTATTGCTGGCTGTGTTTTGTTTGGATTTGCCTGCTTTACTGTTGTTAAGAGAGATTTATAGCAACCAAAAGTTGCTCCTCAGGATGAAGGTTTGAAAGGGTGATCTAATTGCAGAAAACATGCATAGATGCATAGGGAATTTATTGGAAGGGTGGAATATCAGTTTGTCCAATAAATACAGTCAAATATATACCATGAAACCAGTAATCTCTGCCCCTTTACCTTAATGCATTTACACGTTGTTTATTTTATCAACTGCGATATTTCTGGACATGTCAATAGAATTAAGAGCCACTTGATTGGAACCATCAACTGTCTTTCTAGAATGCTCACTTTTCTGAAGAGGTCTGGTACCATCTTTCCTAAGAATTTTTTTTTTTTTTTTGGAAAGGCATAAACTTTCACGAGTTGCATGTCTTTGAATAAAATCCATGGGCTGGGAAAAGAGCCACCAGTCTTTTTCTCATTTTTTTTTTTTTGCTATTACAAACTAATACAGCTCTCCTACAACACACATTTTAATACACAATGGAGTACATTGTAAAGTAGGGATGAGAAATTTTGATGACCAGAGACTACCTTAATATTTGAGGAAGGGAGTAGTGATTACAGTGGGCAGGGCACTAATGATAAAAGAACAGGGCTAACCAGGGTGATGTACTTTGAGGATAGAATTTTTGTTTTAATCTATGTGAAGGGTTACAGTGTACCAAGTCTAGGTCACGGGTGCATCACATGAGGAATCATGATGATTTTTTGTCTTTGCAGAGCTGGGGTGGGCATGGCCTGCACATAACGCATCCGGTCTGCAGGTCGCCAGTTTGACACCACTAGTCTAGGTGAAGTTGCAGTTTTCACAATGGGAAGTTTTACCTATTACACCTAAGAAGTGCAGTCAGAGGAGCTGCAGAGGTATGAGGGGAAAAGTCCTTAAGGCTTTTACCAATCTCTATTTAAAACACGTGCTCTGATCAATCAATCACATACAGGGGTGGGATTCTACCAGTTCGCACCTATTCACTAGAACTGGTTGTTAACATTCTAAGCAGTTTGGAGAACTGGTTGTTAGAAGAAATTACTGGCCTAATCCTGTAAAGAACCCATCTTGTGAGATGTTGCTGCTTGATTCCTTGAAAGAGATATAGCCTATCTACCCATATGGATACAGATTTATGATATTTGTGTCATACAATGGATTGCTTGACTACAGCTCCACAGTAACTGCTGTATTGGCACAAAATGCTGAACCATAAGCAATCAGTTACATTTACCCTAGAATGTTGTGTATAGTTATGAATTGTGAAATTGTGCTTAGTTATGACTGAATATATTGTCTGACCTGGGGTACCATTTGGGGTAATGGAGGAAAAACACAATTAATTTAAAGTTATGCAAACACAATTGCACAAAAATACATCGGCATTGAGTCTCTTCTACTGATCAAACAAATTACAACAGGTAACCCAAGTTAATTCAGGAGCAATACATGATCACAGGATTACTTCTAACACAAAAAACCAATAGGAAGAACATTATAATCTTAATTTTAAACAGGGGACTTATTATTTTTATTCCAGCCTTTGTATATTGCAAAATTCTAGAAATACTTGGCAATTCACAGCTAAAGAAACATGACAATAACAATTTCATAACCATAATAAAAATATGATAAAAGGCAAGTTAAAAGGCAATACCCCACAATATTGAAGTGAAATTGGAAATATTAGATTAGTTTGAGAATAGTGACAGATCAAGATGTATGGTGTAATATCACCCATAAAAAACATACCCCATCAATAAGCAATTTGGTAGCAGAGATAAAAATAGAGCTTAATAAATGAAATGTTATTTCATATCAGAATTGGTAGTAGAATCAACCTGCAATACATTTGTTTTTAAATTGAATATAGCTGATGCGAAACTTTTTGTGAGCAAAACTAGTAGCCTGATTTAGAAAATATATGCATCTATGACTATGACTAATTAGATTATAAATTAAAGAGGTTCTAATTTATTGCTCATCCACCCAAATGTACAATTGAAATTTACTACATTTGTAGGTGGCTACCTGTTTACCTGCTCCCTTTTGGGAAATCCTGATCAGAAGAGAGACTATTGGGCTGTTACAAAGAATTTGCTTCACATCTGGAGAATCAAATCTTTTGCGTTCATTCTGAAGGAAATGCTAGCTAAATAATCAGCTGACTGCTACTGGAAATTTCTTCCCAGGCTGATTTAAGTGTGAGGGGAAAAGAGATACTGTCCCTTGGTAGGCTAAGCTTATTTTGCATATTTGGCTGCTGGTCAGAAATTATTTAAGGCAAATGTCACGGTTTCAGTTTTCAGCGCTGGATATCCCCATTTTCCCTTTTGAGACTTCAGTTGTTCCTCTGTCTCAAATCAGAATCAAATGAGGCTGAGAACAATAGAGAATCTCTTGCTCCAACCTCTTTCTGTTGGCAGCTGCAGAACTTGGCTTGTGATAGACAGACACTTTCTGCAGTGGAAATGATTTAGTATAGAATAGAATAACAGAGTTGGAAGGAACCTTGGAGGTCTTCTAGTCCAACCCCCTGCCTAGGCAGGAAACCCTACACCACTTCAGACAAATGGTTATCCAACATCTTTTTAAAAACTTCCAGTGTTGGAGGATTCACAGCTTCTGGAGGCAAGTTGCTCCACTGATTAATTGTTCTAACTATCACGATATTTCTCCTTAGTTCTAAGTTACTCCTCTCCTTGATTAGTTTCCACCCATTGGTTCTTGTCCTGCCCTCAGGAGCTTTGTAGCTTGACTCCAGTGGTGGGATTCAATTTTTTTTTACTACCGGTTCTGTGGGTATGGCTTGGTGGGTAAGGCAGGGGAAGGATACGGTAAAATCTCCAGTCAGAGGTGGTATTTGCTGGTTCTCTGAACTACTCAAAATTTCTGCTACTGGTTCTCCAGAACTGGTCAGAACTTGCTGAATACCATCTCTGCTTTCGTCCCTCTTCTTTGTGGCAGCCCCTGAGATATTGGAACACTGCTACCATACCTCCCCTAGGCCTTCTTTTCATTAGACTAGACATACCAAGTTCCTGCAAGTGTTCTTTGTATGTTTTAGCCTCCAGTCCCCTAATCAACTTTGCTGCTCTTCTCTGCACTCTTTCTAGAGTCTCAACATCTTTTTTACATTGTGGTGACCAAAATTGAATGAAGTATTTCAAGTGTGGCCTTGCCAAGGCATTATAAAGTGGTATTAACACTTCATATGATCTTGTTTCTATCCCTCTGTTTATGCAGCCTAGAACTGTGTTGGCTTTTTTGACAGCTGCTGCACACTGCTGGCTCATATTTAAATGGTTGTCCATTAGGACTCTGACATCCCTCTCACAGTTTCTACTATTGAGCAAGATACCATATATACTGTACCTGTGCATTTGATTTTTCTTGCCTAAATGTAGAATCTTACTTTTTTCACCATTGAATTTCATTTTGTTAGATAGCGCCCAATGTTCAAGTCTGTCAAGATCCTTCTGTATCTTAAGCCTACCTTCTGGAGTGTTGGCTATTCCTGACAACTTGGTGTCATCTGCAAATTTGATGAGTTTCCCATCTATCTCCTTGTCCAAGTCATTGATGAAGATGTTAAACAGCACTGGGCCTAAAAACAGAGCCTTGGAATACTCCACTGCATACTTTCTTCCATATAGATGCAGTTCCATTGAGGACATGTTGAGTGTGGTTGGTCAGCCAGTTACAAATCCATCTGGTAGTGATGCTCTCGAACCCACATTTTTCTACTTTATCTAGTAGTAGGTTATAGTCTACTTTATCAAATGCCTTACTGAAGTCCAAGTAAATTATATCAACAGCATTCCTCTGGTCCACTAATTTTGTCACTTTGTCAAAGAATGCAATAAGATTAGTCTGGCATGATCTATTTTTAACAAACCTATGTTGGCTTTTGGTTATTACTTTGTTTGCTTCTAAGCATTCCCTGATTCATTGCTTGATTATCTTTTCCAGAATCTTCCCTGGTATTGAGGTCAGGCTGATAGATCTGTAGTTTCCTGGATCTATTTTTTTCCGTTTTTGAAGATGGGAACTATACCAGCTTTTTTCCAATCCTCTGGCAGTTCCCCAGTGCTCCAGGATTTTTGAAAGATATAGTTCAGTGGTTCTGAGATCTTGTCTGCCAGTTCCTTCAGAATCTTGGGGTGTATTTATTCATGGAGTTTCTCCACTTAATTTAGATCTGAAAAATCATGCTTCATCTGCCACTGAAATGGGAATTGGGAATTTTTTTTGGAAATTTGAAGTTATATATGTTAACGGCAGCAGGACTACTTTATGCCCAGAACTTTATGCACCATAATCCCCACAATGGACGAATGGCTGCAAAAACTGATGGAGTTAGCAGAAATGGCTAAATTGGGTGTTTTTATCAAAGAAAAACAATGTAAATACTTTTATTTCTACTTGGAAACTGCTTCTAGATTTTTTGCTTGAGATAGAAAAAAAATGAAACGTCAACGTTTTACTGATTAGACAGATTTATTGTTATAAAAATGGCTAGTGTCATGCCCCTGGTGGAGTCTGACTCTGAGGAAGAGGAGGAACAGCCAACAGGGAGTGGGAGTGTGGCTCCAGAGGTGGTGGAGGAGGATGGGGAAGGGCAGAGTCCAGCTGAGCAGTCAGAGGAGGATCCAGGCCCATCCCCTATCCATCCTAGATCATGCAGGGAGGAGAGGATCAGGGTAAAGTGAGGTCTACTCAAGAGGAGATTACCATGATCCTCCTTGTGGCTTGCAGGTGGGAGCTATGTGTATACGTTTGCAACTGCGCAGTTAGAATTGCTGAAGTCAATTAG